ACTGAGCCATCTCTCTAGCCTGATTTTCAACATTCTTATCTTATCTTGTGGTTTTCAAGGTGTGGCCATCAGACTAGGAGAATCAACATGATCTGGGCAATATGCTAGAACTGCCTATTCTCAGGCCCCTGTTAAGACCCACTGAGTCAGAGGCCCTGGAGGCAAGGGAAGCAATGTGCTAAGAAGCTGTTTAGTTGATTGACGCACAGTAGAGGTTAAGAACTGCAGTTCTAATACAATCAAGCCCGTTTTGTTGTTGTTGTTGTTTCACCCTTTAAGCACAGCAGACACTGTTATCATGTCTGTTTTATCACTCAAACTTCAAAATGCTTTCCTTGTCCTTTCAATTCTGACACTATCAACCTGTCAAGCTCTGAAAATCCCAATTTCCCCCCTAAAGTGGTCTCACTGCTATTGTGTACACTCCTCCTCTTGACCTCTTCCCCAAGTCCCACACCACAGCTAATCCCTCTACCTTGACACTATCTATATACACTGTCCTCAGTGGTGGGGAACAGTTATCTTCTCCCTAACAGACGAGATGCTCCTTACAGCCATGAATGTGCTTATCTCCTCTACTCCTTGACCTAAACACATACCTGGAATTTTAAGAGTTGCTGGTTAATGTCTTCACCCAAAGGAGAAACACTGGTAACTTAAAAAAAGGGAAAAATTTGCCTGGCAAATTCTTAATGAATGAGAAGTCTGGAATATCAAGCTGTACCCTCAGATTCAGTTCTCAGGACACGTCTACCAAAGTGAGAAAGTAAGACCAATGCTTGTTTTCAGCTTGAAATAATTTTATGGTATTTTCCAAACTGGGTGTGGTGGCACATGCCAGTAAGCCCAGCACTTAGACAGAGGCAGGAGGATCAGGAGTTGAGGCCAGGCTGGGATACAAGAGACCCTATCTCAAAAGAAAAAAAAAAGAAAAATTCCCACATCAGACTGTCATCTCATTATATTCTCATATTGCTTTGTTTATAACCTAATGTGGGAGTTTTTAGGTATGTCACAGTTAAATAGTGTTCCCTAGTAAGCTAGTAAACTGCTTGAGAAGGAATGTTTTATTCAATTCTAAATCTAGCACCCTGAATTCAATCCACAAAACCTATATAAAAGTGACTGGATAGAACTGACTCCACACACACACACACAAAAAAAAAAAAAAAAAAGAAAGAAAGAAAAAAAAGAACTGACTCCACAAAGTTGTCCGCTGACCCCCACAAGCACGAAGTGGGGGCACAAGTGACCTAATACATGCACAGACACAGGCACAAATAGATAAATCTAAAAACCAAACCAACCAAACAAAAGCAGTAGCAGCTTCACTTATAAAGAAAACCTATGTGCATATATCTGCTGTCCCCAAAAGGGCCTTGTGAATATTATTTTTATTATAAATAACATGTATTTATATATAATAAAAACTACACTCACTCTGATGTCACCTAGGGTAATAACTCACATAAAGCAAAAGAATGAAAAATCTGCATCTCACATGAACTTCAGTACAGACTAAAATGTCATAAGCCTCAGGCACTCCTACTGCCACATAAAAATAAAAACTCCCCTGTAGACTAAAGAAACCTATACCAGCTCCACCGTTGGGGAGACTTCTAGATGCAAGACCATTATCTGCAAACTTTCAAAAACAAAAGGGTAGACTAAGGATGAGTGGGGATAGTCAGAAGATAAATCTAAAGGGAGGGACAACAAAGAGAAATTGAAGGACAAGAGGACATCACCCTTTGAGTAAGGACAAGGAACAGTGGGAATTCAGTATTTACCAAGGGTCTACCAGGAGCCTGGCATCCAGGAGTGCAAAGATGGTGCCTGACCTCGAGGGGATAGTAGTCCTGAAGGTAAGACGCAGGCCTGCAGCCTGTTGTGTATCATCTAATTCTAGCTGGGAAGCAATGAGGGCTTTACCAGGAAGGTGAAAATTTTGTGGTCTTTGAAGTGTGGAGGAGGATTTGCTAAGGAAGGAAAAGGCAGTTTGAGCTAGTTATTTTGGGGGCAAAAATCAACACATTTTTATAGCTGCTCATTTGGGACTGAAATCAAAGGAGGTGTCTCAGAGTCTGCATCACCCTCGTCAATGCCTTCCCTTTTTATCTTAAAGCTTGCGAATGTTCAAGAACAGCTCTGGAGCAGCGCCAGAAGGTCCCAAAAGGAGGTGAGTACTGGCTAAATCTGCTCTGTCACCTCCACAAGTCCAGACAGCCTAGTCCTGGCAGCTAGAAAAGGCTAATTATACCTGGGGCGCTGAGGGTGGGGGCTGGAGGGGTGGATTCAGGCAAAGCTTATGTTCTGTCAGCGAGCCACCATGGGAGAGCCTCCCTACTTAAGCCATAAGGCTCCGAGTCTACCTTTGACAAGGAGGAGAGCTCTGCAAGGGGGGTGGGGAGGGTTCAAGGAAAAGAAGGGGGGAAGCATTGGACAGGAAGGCAGTGAGGTACAAAGGTGAAACGATCTTAATAAAACGCTTAGCGAGACACAGGCACAAAGCGAGGATTTGGGAGAGAGCCAGCTCATATTAACATCGCAATTGTCACCACAACAGCACTTCCACCGTACTGACAAGAAGGTAATTCTATTCGTAGCCCACTTTTACGACGTCTAAAAACAACCCTAGAAATGACAAGTGTATTTCCAAAAACATTTAAAGATACAAGATCAAATTCCACCAGCTCTGGCCGTGAAAGCCCCAAGCCCCTGAGTTAAGAGAGCTGGCCGTGTCACTTGTCAGTTCCATGACCTTGGACACCGCATTTCACCTCCCAGAGCCTCAGTTTCCTTGACTACAAAGTGGGCTTTATGCAAACCGGGGTCGTGGGGTCCCAGGAGAGAGGGAGACCTCTGTGGCTTTGGGACGGAACCCACCCAAGGCGAGTCAAGACCACTGTCAAAACTCTCTGGGCTGTGAGGGGCAGCGGGGTAGACGGATGCTCAGGTCTAGGAGCTCCGGAGCTGCGCCGTGGGAGCCGGGAAGACGGTGACGCCCTCAGAGGGTCCCTGCGCCACAGGGTGCAGGCCTCCTGAGCGAGGCTCGACCCCTGCAGGACACACGCCGCCCGCCGCGGGCTAGGTGCGGGCAGGGGCGCGGGAGGCCGGGCAGAACCCGCAAGGCGCCGGGGGTTCGGAAGAGGCCGACCGCGAGGACCCGGGGCCTGCCCTGTGGCCAGCGGCCCACAGAACCAGGGGAGCGACAGCGGGGCGTAGCGTGCCACGCGCCCTCCGGCCGCTGTGGTGGAGGCAGACACTCACTCACCTGAAGCGATAGCGCGGGCCGTCAGTCAACAGCAGCTGCAGCAGCGGCAGCAGCAACGAGGGGCGGGGGAGGCGCTGCGCTGCGCACGCGCGTTGAGGATGCCGGGGGTTTACGCATGCGCGATGTGCTCGCTTTCCTTGGGAACTACAGAAAAGATGGTGGCCAGGCTTGGAGAGCCTAGCAGCTCCATCTTGACTGTAGTTTTTCTTCTAGCGGTGTCTCAGAGGCTATGGCTCAGAACTGCCCTAAGGTGATGTGAAATGTTCAGTCTGCACACCGCCGACCTATTCCTCTTGGTTAAATTATTAGTAAGTCTTTGAGGGCCATGACGTACTTGTTTTAACAAGGTTTAAAAGCTACACACAAGATCATCTGGCACTCCTGAGCTAGAATTCGAGTCTCAAGAGTTCAAATTCCTAATTCTCGTTCGTCTCTTAACAAATGGCAGCCATATCATTTGCTTTCTTGAGTATAAGAGATGGTTACTCTTCAAAAAACGACTGTACATACTAAGTTAATGACTCGACAATAACTTTCATTGTCAATTATGGGTTGTAGTGATTGTGCATGAATGTAGCAAATTTCCCTTAAGGCTAGAGTTACAGAATGTTGTGAGTCACCAAATATGGGGACCTGGACAGGAACTCCATCCTCTGCAAGAACAGGAAGCACTCTTAGTCACTAAGCCATTTCTCCAGACCAGAATCAAAATGTACATGTAGCTTGTACATGCTGGCCATTTTTATGTCAACCTGACATAAGTGGAGTCATTTGGGAAGACAGAATCTCAGTTGAGAAAATTCCCCCGCAAATTTGGCCTGTGTAGTATATTTTCTTGACTGATGTCTGACGAGGGAGGGCCCAGCTTACTGTGGGCAGGTGGTACTGGATGGTGTAACAAAGCAGGCTGAGCAAGCCATGAGAGCAAGCTGGTAGACAGCACTTCTCAATCTGTGGGTTGCATATCAGATATTACATTATGATTCATAACAGTAGCAAAATTATTATGAAGTAGGAACAAAATAATTTTATGGTTGGGGTCACCACAACATGTATTAAAGGGTCATATTATTAGGAAGGTTGAGAACAACTGATCTATGGCCTGTTAACAGTTCCTGTCATCCTCTCTCAGTGATGAACTGTTACCTAGACATGTAAGATAAAACAAAAAACAAACTCCTTCCCCAAGTTGATTTTAGCCAGTGTTTTATCACAGTAATAGAAACCCCAAGATACTACACTAGCCTAGACTTTGCTATGCAGCCAATTCACAGGACATAATTTCTTTCAAGAGCTTATTAGCCTATGTCTTTTTCTTTCTTTTCTTTTTTTCTTTTTTATTTTTCGAGACAGGGTTTTTCTGTGGCGTTGGAGGCTGTCCTGGAACTAGCTCTTGTAGACTAGGGTGGTCACAAACTCACAGAGATCCGCCTGCCTCTGCCTCCCCCCGAGTGCTGGGACTAAAGGCTTGAGCCACCACTGCTCAGATTAGCCTATTATCTTATTAACACTAAGTATAATTAACTAAAGATCATTATTCTCAGAGAAAGAACAAATACAACCAAACATTTTTGTTTTTTTTTTTTTTTTTTTTTGAGCCATGGACTCTCCATGTAGTCCTGGCTGTCCTGGAACTCAATATGTAGACAGGTTGGCCCCAAACTCAAAAATCCTCATTGTTATTAATCACACACTATTCCCAAACCAATCTGAATGACGGAAAAACTAATATTGACAGCCTTTTATTATATGATTTATATTTAATTGTTAACATTTACTAAGTACTGAACTGGTGCCAGTTCACCCTCACTGCCTATCTGTCCTCAGCTAAATTAGGAAACATTTCCAATGTTCTATGAATGACAAGAAACAAAAAAGCCTCTCTCATAAAGCTGTGGTAAGCACTAATGATGCTTAGAGCTCCGTAAGTCTTGCTGAGACCGGGTCTAATATAGTCTACTGGCCTAGCATCTGCTACGTAGCCGAGGAGAACCTCTAACACCTGATTCTCTTGTTTCTGCTGCTTGAGTGCCGAGATCTAAATTTTTAGTGTTTTGGGTTTTGTTTTGTTTTTTAATATTCTAGCCTTTTTAAGAGGTTGAAGACACCCAACATTTACAAATAAAACATGATAGAATGTAATAAAATGGAGAAAGGCATAATCACCATTGAAGACAGGCAATTTTTCCTTTTGACAGAGCAAACCGATGAGATTAAGATATGCCCCAAAGTTTATACTCTTTGTTATACTTCTCTGCTTTGAAACAATAGTCAATAATACCATCTTTGACAATTAAATACTGACTTTCTTGGAGGCTGTTTGAAATTTCCTTTCTTGTTTTACTTTGAATACAATCCTCAATCTTCAATAACTACGTATAACTTTTAAATTTTATTTCTAATCCAGACTTTACTACACAAGTCTCCACCTGTATATAGAGCAGCAGTCTGCTTGAATTCTCCATATGGAATTCCAAATTAGAAATTAGCTTTCCTGTCTATTCATTTTTAAGTCTTCAGCAATAAACTGATAATTTTGTTGTAGCCTTTTACTATCTAAAATCCTTACAGTGCCCTTAAAACACAGATTCTAACAACATTCTTCCAATGTTCTAGATAAGAGGTTAAGTAACTTTTCCTCAATCACAGGAAATGACAACACAAAGTTTTTAACCATAGCTTACAGGGCTATTATGTTCTAGGTACCATTCAGTAATTAGAACAATTTTTAAAAAGTAAAATATGTGTTGGAGAGATGACTCAGAAGTTAAGCGTACTGACTGCTCTTCCAGAGGTCCTGAGTTCAATTCCCAGCAACCACATGGTGGCTCACAACCATCTGTAATGAAATCTGGTGCCCTCATCAGGTGTGCAAGCATACATGCAGGCAGAACACTGTATACATAATAAATGTTTTTTTTAAAAAGTCAAATATGGGGACTGAAGATGAAACTCAGTGAGAATGTTTGCCTAGTACCTGCAAAGCCCTGGGGTCAATTCTTAGGGGAGCAAAGGGGAACTTCCAGAGAAAAAAAATTAAATAGTCTCAGATCTTTCTTGCAATAATTTAGATTGTAGTAGGTCAATTCAATCTTAAAAACTAAAGCACACTATAGACATTAAGACACTTCAGAAAATGGGCATTTTGTGAAGTGATCCAATATACCTATCATGCAACAACATTCTACACTCGACCTTTAGTGCCACACTTGAAAACTTTAGCTTCATTCTCTGATGACAAGAACCCAACTTGGCCCCGAAAACATTTTGTTAAGGTTGGATCTAAATGTCTTTGGGATGTTTTAAAACTTGACAAATCTATGGGATGAAAAGTGCTGACCGTGAGGACATTTAAAGCAATGGGCCACTGGTTCTGAGGGTCATTTTAAGCATTTTGCACATTCCTACAGAAAGTGTCTCTAACAACATCCTTCTGCATGCATACATGCTGTCACTCAAACAGTGAAAGTGCTCTGCAGTCAGAACCGTCCAGCTTTGAGGAAACCGCTATGAGGCTGACATTTGTGGAGGCGCTCTTCCCTGTCCTCTCCCTGGCAGCTCACAGCAGAAACTACAATGACAAGATCCTGATCACTGTGTAGTAGATGACTTCTGCAGGTGGAGTCTGAGCAGTTTTCGAGCAGGTGAAGTATCTAATTGTTCCATGCTTCTCTTCTCTGCAGAGGAAAGGAGCCAAAAAGCACATTTCAGTTATTGGAAACTACACGTGACACCATGCCAGACAGTAAAGGGTAGTAAATGACACATAAGAAAGGTCTTTGTTCTCAAGGAGACAGCAGTCTAGTAGGAAAACCAGTTTGGTGTGATAAATAAGAAAATGGACAGAGGAAGCCAGAAAAAACTATGGGAAAGCACCTGTAGTTTTATTTCATGCATTCTTGAAAATGGAGGCCGTGAAAAAGCAGTGGGTATATTTGTGGAGTGCTTGTGTGGAATTTACACTAAGCATTTCTATCAGCATTCGACTTACTATGGGGAGTAAAGCAAGTCATATGGTTTAAGTCTGAGGACCTTCTGCCTGGAGAGGCAGCTTATATCCCCAAAGGGGACACAGATGACCTGAGCTCTGGTCCCCTCAAGTGATGCACTTACTGAGCTGTACTGACACCTGCTGGAGGTACTGAGTACTTTCATCCATGAAGGCTTGCAGCTGCTTCACAGATCCTTGCAGCTCATCCATCTGCAGACAGAAAGGTCAGTATGAGCTGCAGGACTTTCTCTGACTCCCCATACTGCCAGGCAAGCTTCTGCTTTGGAGCTTTAGGCCCACTCTTTCTGCCTAGAATGCTTATGCCAGGCATTCTCTCTCAGCACCCACTGAATCACACACCACATTTCTCCAGCTTGCTCTATGCCCTAGGAGATTGACCCTCAAACCTCTGCCAACAAAATGCCAAGTCCTCTAGGTTTTGTTTGAACATAACGAAAAGGAGCTAATAGGCACTGTGTGTACAATAGCAGCCACTGCTCCTCCTGGATTCTTTACCCCCTTTACTCTGCTTTACTAGCACTTAACATTATATATTTACTTAAATTTTTCCCCATTTTTCTTGGAACATAAAGTGGCTATGGAGACCTGACCATGTAGGGAGACACTGTAGCCCCGCCTCCTAGGAGCTCTACAGGTGTGGAGCTCTACATGGCTACGCCCATGAGGACATGGTCAGGGGAGGTTCAGGATGACGTGGGGGGGAGATTCTTAAGGGGGCAGACACGTAGGGAGCCCTTTGAATAAAGATATTTTAACCTGTAACATCACGTTATATGACCCTTTCTCTCTCCCCTCTCCTCTTGTTACCCATCATCATAAGGGAAGTAGTCCCCTCCATCACATGTTCCCACCACAATCTATTGCATGGTCACAGTTCAAGTCAACAGGGTTTAAACAACCATGGGCTGAAATTAGCAGCCAAAATAACCCATTCCTCCTTATAAGTCATTGCAAGTATTCTATCATAATGTCATAACGCTGAAAGAGATGGCAAGTCTAGAAAGCTGGGTAATCCACGTAGTAAGCCTGAAGTACTGACCACTAACTCCATGCAGGCAAAGACTTGGTTCTGATTCCGTACGATTTCCTGGTAGTCGGGCTTTGTGTTAAGGACTTCCTTCTGGGAAGACCCAAGATAAGATGTAGGATCCACTTTAACTTCAGTGATTTCAGTTTCAGTTGATCCCCTAAAGACAACAACAAGAAAAATAAGGAATTTTCCTAGCATTTACAATCATTTTCGGGAGATAATATAAAATAGTTCCTTTGAGAGGAAAACCACCTTAAAAACCATGTTCCTCAAAGCCTCACCTAACATTTTATAGTTGGCTTTGCAGGGGCAAAAAGCTTTCAAATACCAGCTGGGAGATTGTGGTGTTGCACACTTACAATCCCAGCAATTGGAAAGCTGAGACAGGAGGATTGTGAATTTGAGGTACACCTGTGAGACCAACCTTGGCTGCCTAGAGGACCATATTTTAAATTAATGAAACCAGTTCAGATGTTGAAATAAACAAAATCTAGTGCTTTCGCACCTTCCCCTGACTCACCTAGCCAGATGGCCTCTCTTATCTTATACCTCCTTTCCACTCCCTTCATGGCTTTGTGTTTTCACCAAGGCCTTAACCAAGGAACTCTCTCCAATCTACAGCTCAAAGGCCATGTGCTCCCTAAAATGTCTTGGGGACTGATGTTGGCCCAGTGCCAGGTGAGCAGGTGCAAGGGAAGCTATGTGCCCATCTCCCCAGGAGACATGAATGGTAGCCAAAAGCACACACAGAAGCAATTCTGTTCTGGGTCTGAAAACAGTGATAATTAGTCTTCCATTTTTGTTCCTCCCTTTCCACCAAAGAAAACAAAGAGATACTTTAAAGTTGACTGAACTATGAGAACAGATTCATCTCTGTGCGTACAAATGGATTTTAAATAAACTCAAACCAAATTCCACAAAGCTGCTCCGTTCCAGTTCTCAGGTCTAACCTGGGCATCTCTTCGGGTGGAACCTCCTTCTGGTACTGTTGTAAGAGCTGATCCCAAGTCTGACGTTCTAAAGAAAACCTGTGGAATTCAGGAAGGGAAAGTCAGTTAACTTTTGGTCATATTTTTAATTACTCAGGGCAACAATAAGTACTTTAGGCATGTAATCTGGTTGTAAAATGCATTCAAAGGTCATTAAAGGATTAGAAAGCTCAACTGATTCAGAGGATATTAATTTAATCAAGTAATAAACAAGCTGTTAAAATCAAATTAGCACCCTTATTCCTTGACTGTGCCCTGTCTATCAGGGCTGTTCATATGCCTTCCAGCCCTAGAGCTGACACACAACTGCTGTCCACCAGGCTTACCAGGCATTTTAACCAGGTTCACTTATTTCCCTGATGGAGAAAAAAGTTCAGTTTTCCAAGAAAGGCTCACTCATTTTACTTACTTTGCTATATATTTTTTCACCTCAGCCACTGATGTTTCAAGTGAAAAATCTGGTGCTTTTCTGGAATACAGATAATATTATGATATTAATATGAATCCTTCAACAAACACTTGTTTTTAATGTCTTACATAATTTTAGTGGTACTTAACTATATTCATAATTTTTTGTTGTTCAGAAAATATTTTTGCACTAGTAATGGCTAAATGATTTTTAAATCTGTTTTTCTCATCAACTCCAATTCATACCATGGCGATTAGCCTTTCTAAAAATAGTCTTTTACTTTTTCTCCCTGGCTTCAAAACTCTATCACTAATACAAACAGAATAAAAGTCAAAACCCTTGATTCTTAAGACTTTCTGTATTCTGGCTTCTTTCAACTCAGCAATTTCTCCCATGGGTCAGCTCAATTAGATGATTATTTCTAATGAAAAAGAAGCAGGCACTGAAAATGCCAAAGTATCGAAGATAGTCTTGGTTCTCCACCTGACAAACACTGACTAGTAGTGTGCAACTCCTGTTTTTCTGCCAAGGCCTGTACACAGCATCTCTAGCAGAGATGCAGCAGCCTGTGCTTACATACACATTCAAAGAGATTTTGTTGAACTAAAATATTTCATGCCTGATTAGAAATGTTACTTTTTTAAAAAAAGATTTATTATGTATACAATATTCTGCCAGCAGATATGCCTACTGGCCAGAAGAGGGCACCAGGTCTCATTACAGATAGTTGTGAGCTACCATGTGGTTGCTGGGAATTGAACTCAGGACCTCTGGAAGAGCAGTCAGTGCTCTTAACCTCTGGGCCATCTCTCCAGCCCCCAGAAATGTCACTCTTAAGAACTTGTGAAAGGGCAGACCTAGCATGAATTCCAAATTCAGACCAAGTGCATGACCTGTGGCAGGGTGGAGTTGTGATGGCAGCCGCAACCTTGAAGACTACCAATTTAGGGGGTGGTGTGTGTGTGTGTGTGTGTGTGTGTGTGTGTACCAATTTAGGGGGTGGTGTGTGTGTGTGTGTGTGGACCAATTTAGGGGGTGGTGTGTGTGGGTGTGTGTGTGTACCAATTTGTGTGGGGGTGTGTGTGTGTGTGTGTGTGTACCAATTTAGGGGGTGGTGTGTGTGTGTGTGTGTGTGTGTGTGTGTGTGTATCCCCGGGACAGAATTTCGCTGTGTAGCTTTGGAAACCAGGCTGGCCTCTAACTCACAGACATTGGTCTGCCTTCGCTTCGCCTCTCGAGAGTTGGGATTAAAGGTGTACACACCACCACCTAGCTTGGGATGATGTCCTTTTAACAATAAATTCTATTTATTATTATTATTAGTGTGTTTGTGTGTGCACATGCACATGTGTAGATGTGCACATGATACAGAGTGTGTACGGGTCAGAAGACAACTTTCAACAATGGATTTGCATCCTTCAAAGGGAAGTGTGGATAGAAATGAGAACATCAACTTATGCAGCAAGAGTTCTTATATTTACTCTCTGATCCATCTTCCCAGCCCATTCTGCTAACAGTCTCGCTTGCAAAGAGCATTAGAACAAGAGCTGCCTTCTGCAAGACAATCCAAGATCTGAGGAATGGCCTCCTCAATCTTCCCACAGCTGTTCCTTCTCACTGCCTAGGTCTTTTGTGTTCCAGTCCCAAAAATGAAACCATTAGGGATCTTCTCTCAAAACTCTAGCAATGTTCTTGCTCCCAATATCACTATCTTACTTGCTGGCATCCTAGATTATCACTAGCTCAGACTGAATTGTCTCTGTATTATCTCCTCTAATACAAACATGACAAGAAGGACTTGACTCATTGATCACTATATTCCCTTCCTTGTCACCTAGAAGAGCCTGGTATAAGCCAAGGATGGCAGCTCACACCTGTGATCCCAGCACTTTGAAGGTAGAGGTAAAAAGATTGCCAAAAGGTTGAGTCCAGTCTGGACTACAAAGATCCTATCTCAAGAAGCAAAAATAAGTAGTTAAAGAGTGTGGTGGTACATAGGTGCTAGATAAATGTTTATTGTGTAAGCAATGGCTTAATTATAATCAAGTTTTAGCTCAGTTATAATTAGGGCTAGAAGGGGAATTGATCTTACTCTTTTGAATCTTCAACAAAACACTTTTGTAGAGTTCCATCACTTTCCAGCTTCTCTGTAAAATGTTCCAATTCTTCAGAGAGAGAAGATACTAGAGAGGACAAATTATGTTAGAAAATAAAAAGACAACAAATGTTCACAATGAGTACATGACAAAGATATTAAGGAGTTCCTAAGTCTAGAGCCCCACATCCCATTCTGGCCCTCTCATTCACACAAAACAGGCATGTGAATATGCAAATATTTTAAGCTTTGGGATTCAAAGTTTAGCTTCATGGTAGAGAACTTGCCTAGCAAGTTCAAGGTCCTGGGTTTGGTACCCAGCACCAAAGGGATGGCTGTGTCAGTTTGAATGAGAATGGCCCCCATAAGCTCATGTTTGAATACTTGGTCCCCAGTTGGTGTTACTGTTTGGGAAGGATTAGGCGATGTGGCCTTGTTGGTAGAGGTATGTCACTGAGGGTGGGCTTTGAGGTTTCAAAAGACTCTACCATCTACTAGCAGAATGAGATATGAGCTCTCAGATGTTCCTGCTGCCATGCCTTTGCTCTGCTATCAGGGGCTTTAGCTCTTGGAAACTGTAAGCCCAATTAAATACTTTCTTTTATAAGTTGCCTTGGTTGTGATGTTTTATCACAGTAAAAGAACAGTAATTAATATGGGGGGCAACAAAAATAGAAAAGAAAATTTTATCCTTTTATTGGGCAGATAGCTAAATGGAAGGCAAGTTTGTGTTTTTATACTTACGAAAAAGCAGTTAGCACAGATAGCTATACAATTTCACTTTTTCCTAGAGACGTGAATTGCTATCACTGAAGAGAAAAAAGCATTACAGATGTAGTAAAAAGGGGCAATTTTTAAAGTGGTTAGGGACCCGGTTTTAAGGAGGAAGCATCTTCTGTAAAAGGCCACTGAAAATGTACTGGCTGGCTCCAAAAGAGAGATAGGTCAAGGCCAATGCACTTGTCTGTGCTTAGCAACTCACCTTTCGCTCTGAAGCATTCAAGGCTGAAGTCCTTAGTGCTCTTTAAGAAAGGTTCAAGTTTCTCAACAGAGAACTAAATAAAGAAAAGCATTTTCAGTACAACCACCAGTCTCCCAGGCAAGCTGCGCATGGCTTTACAATGCTTAGGATGAACTTATAATGAAACTACACAGAGCAGAGGCAGTCACATCTCTGTGAGTTTGAGTTCAGGTTGGTCTACAGAGTGAGATCTAGGATAGCCAGGGTTATACAGAGAAACCCTGTCTCAAAAAACCAAACAAACAAAATAAACCAACAACACAAAAATCTTATACTCCATACACCAGTCTGCTTTATAGTCAGCCTTGGATGCCTACAGCAACAGATTTCGACCTCTACACAATTTAATCTCATCACTTGCTGCCAATTAGCAAAAGATATTGCAAAATCTCTCAGCCATACAGCTAGCAACCGCAGAGCTCAGCACAAAGATAGTGTAGCTGCTCAAGTGAGAACTGGCTTTTAAGTCAATCCCAAGCATGGAAAAAAAAATCTTTTCCTCAGTTCATCACCGACACTGAGATCTCTTTGAAGTTGTGACAATGACACAACTGCAAATGAAAACACTTCTCAAGTCTGGGAATCTCACCTGGAAGCTGGAGAGCAGTAGAGCGCCAAGCCGTTTGCTTTCTGCTAACTTCAAACTGATGGAGCTGCTGAGAGCTGGCATAAAATAGAACATGTAAGGAACATCACACTCACACTTACAGTTAGCAAGACAACAAAACTGGAAAATCTCCCTCTCAATGTAACCCAGCTTAAGACAAGAAGCTGCCTTCTCTGCGTAAGGAGAGAATTCTAATTTTTCCAGGCTAACTGAAGAACAAAGTTTACACTTTTTTGTATCCAAATTTTCAAGTGTTATTAGAACTGTTTCATGTCTTACGTTAAAATCTTGTTTTTTTTGTTTTTTGTTTTTTGTTTGTTTTTTGTTTTGGGTTTTTGGAGACAGGGTTTCTCTGTGTAGCTTTGGAGCCTATCCTGGCACTTGCTCTGGAGACCAGGCTGGCCTCGAACTCACAGAGATCCATCTGCCTCTGCCTCCCGAGTGCTGGGATTAAAGGCGTGTGCCACCAACGCCTGATAAAATCTTGTTCTGTTTAAAAAAGTAGATTGAAAATATAATGAAACTTATTATTTTGTATGTCAATTAAAAACAAACAAACAAGGTAGACACAAATAACACAGATGGCATTTTTGTAACAGGCACTGCAATGTGCTTTTAGTACATAGGCCTATGAGCTGTAGGGGCTGCTGCTCAGTGGATGAACCCTTGCCTCGAATGTGCATGGACCTGAATATTACCCTCAGTACTAAAAAGAAAAAATGTTTTCTTACAAGCAGCATAAGCTTCACTTTACAAATAAAGAAACTCAATCAAGGAAGGGAACTGTCTGAAGACAGGCTGAAGAAGCCATGCTTCAAACCCACTAAATATGTCAGTGAGGTCGGTCTTCCTAGTAGTAGCATGCTGCCTGCCATGATCTAATATTAATAGCAGCACCAGCTGAACACCTGCTGTCTAAAAGACATTTCTCTTCACTGCTATGCACATCTCATTAAAATTTTAAAGCAAATATCTTCTGTTTATTTGATCTGGGCTTTTTGAAACATGGTCTTGTAATGTAGTAGCCCAGGCTGGTCTTAAACTCCTGGCAATCCTCCTGCATCAGACTCCCAAGTGCTGGGATCATGGGCAAGAATGACCACGCCTGGCATCCATTCTATCTTGATAACAGATGGTAACCGTGGCACACAGGCTGGTTCGACTCCTTGCTCAAGGTTATACAGCAAGCAATGAATCGATGGGTGCTTTATGGAATGATGTCACTGACCCAAACAGCAGTAAGTTGTAGATACTCTTCTCTCAATTATGCCCATTTAAAAACAATCATCACACAATGTAAGAATTCTTGCCCTTTGGCTTTAGCTGGCTATTTAAAAAGCATTCTTGTCTCTTGAATGATTCTGGCTGCTGTTAACCAGATTCTTTCTGGCTACAACCAAGGAAGCCTGGCAAGTAGCCAGGAATAACCAGAAAAATAATCCATCTTATTACATGGTTGAGTCCATGCTATACAGAACTGGTGCTCTGGAATGGGAATGAAGGTAGGGCTAGTCTTGGACAGCTACTCTCTTGGCACATCAAGGGAGCAAAGTGCAGGGGCACTATGGCACCAATTTTCCAACTTGTCTATTTTACTCAGATCCCTTCCACACATGCAACCACCTTAAAGAAACCAAACAGCTTTAACACTGCTGTGGTTTTATTTCCTTCACTTACTGAGGACTTCAGACAAAGGAAGTGAAGCTCAAGAACAAACTAGACTTCCTGCATTATATCCTGTATTTTGATACTAGCAAATCAAATGACTGTAAATTTAGGGGGAAAAAAATCACAAATTGTATTCAAATATGGAATCCCTAAAAACAATTTTACTTTTTGTTCTTCAGTGTTGTGAACTAGGGCCTCAGGCACACTGAACTTACATTCCTATCCCCACTTAGTGCACTTTTATCTGTATCTTCCTTCTGAGTCATTTCCAGTTATAAAGGCTAAGATCAGACAGGTATTAACCCACTCGCCTTCTGTTCCATTTTAAGGTATAAGACACAGGAAGAACTCAAATTCCTAGCACCCTAAATAGGATGACATATTAAACATTTAACAACCAGAATTTCTGTTCTCGACAGCTCATATGTAAACAGCAATTAACACTGAACACTTACTAGGTATGTGGCAATGGGATGTATAAACAAGAACATGCCATTAGAATTATTTCCATTTTTATACGCAAGGAAACTGAGGCTCTAGGAGGTGATGTGTTCAAAGTTGCACAGCTAAAATGTAGCCGAGTCGTGTCTATTCTGCCACACTTTCTGGCACTCATTACTCACTGCCTATGTGGGCTGGAATTCCAGTTTATGTACACAGCACCCCACCTGTGATGCCTGGGTGAAAGGGAGCCAACGACTTTCGCCGGTTTATTTCTTTCATACTTGCTCGTCGCCAAGACTGCCTTCTGTCTTGATGACGGACAGACTGTTCTTGAGGGGACAAGTGAAATGACCTCAACTGAAGTCTTTCCTGATGATTGTCATCACAACTTTCCCCCTCTTCAGGGTGGCTGCAGCCAAGGTGATTTTTTTCCTTTGCAATGCCTTGAGTCATCTCCAGGGAGGCAGAGGAGTTAGGCAACACTTCCAGAGGGCTGAGACGTGATTGCCACTGACGATCCTCAGTCTTGGACATCATTGGTTCCTGTTCTAGCATTTGTTATAGAAAAGTCAAAATATAAAATCAAAACCTACCACAAGAGAGCACCTGAGCAAAGGGGTGACAACAGAAAATGTATGTCCCCACAAGATGACATACACTGGTAGTCTCGGCTTCCTAGGAGCCCAAGCAGAAGGAAGGAAGGAGGGAAGCAAATCTATTTCCCCGGTCAAAGAAACAAAGAGGAAGCCTTTCGGCAAATATACAATGTGAGATTCCAAATCCACCAGGAACTAGAGAAGGGTCCTGTGATAGTTCAGAAGCCTGGATCCAAGGCCAGAAGCACTGATTTCACCGTAAAACTCACCTTCTGGTCTGGTCACGGAAGTCATCCTGGATAAAGAAATGCAAACAGAAGATGAGGTGGTCCATTCTTCACATCCTAGCTCCAGACTCACAGGGGCGTCACAACCCCATAATAGGTCTTGTGCTTGAAGTGCCCTGCTTGCCTCCTCCACATATAATCAATCTATCTTAGCTACCAATCACTGTGACTCACTAGCCTCCTAATTCCATCCATGGTAATGGATCTCCTTTGTTTTCCAAACTAGAAAAGAAACTAACAAAACAACCCACATCATCTCTTCTTATTGCTTCCAGATCCTTCCATTCCTGGAAATTCCACTTTTTAATATCTACATACATTTATCCTTCCAACCATAAAACACAGTCATCCTTTTTAATGATTTGATGGTGGCCGCGAATCTTTTCTCTATAGTACTGGCTCCAAAATATATTCACCGTGTCTATCTTCCCAACCAGACTGCACTGCATTGCCAGTACCTGTCAGAGACAACTGACCCAAAGAGAGGCAGGACACAGCCTGGCATCTCTCTATCTTGTATGTATCTCTCCCTCCCAAAAGACGTCTGAATGTGGCGGGGGGGGGGGGGGGGGGGTGTGCTTGGTAAAAAAAAAAAAAAAAAACAAAACAAAAAACGAATAGATTCTGAGGGACCATACTCAAAGAATGAAGAAGGGTCCTTCAAGGATCTAAATCACCCCAATCCTTATGACAGATCGAACAGGCTCGAGCTTGGATAATAGTCATTCAGGCGCTTATGAGCCTGTGGCACGTAAACGCCTTCTTACATCATTATCCCATTTAATACGTTCCACAACTCTGAACACTATTACTCTTGTCAGGAGGAGCAGGCTCCTTACGAGGCCAGCGTGGGGCACAGGAGCAAGGCAGGCCGAACTGTGACCCCCAGCCCGCTGCCCAGGCTCCAGCCACAATCTGGAGTCAGGACAGCCGGAGTGCCCGGGAGAGAGGAGTGGCCTTCCCTCGGTGGTCCTTTCCCTAGGAAGTGTCTGAGGCCCTGCGGCTGGCAACGCCAGGGGCGCCGGGTGGGCCGGGCCGAGAGGCGGGGCAGGGAAGAGCGAGCCATATCCGGGGAGATGTCTGCGACTCCCGACCCCAGAGCGACGCCCGCCCAGCCCTCCCCGCCCCCTCCGACCGGTTCCCGAATCACAAAGCCCAAGGTCACCTCTGGAAACTCGGCGTAACCGCAGAGGGCTCTCCACGGCGTTGTACGGTTCGCGGTCCCGCGTAGCCGCCGCTACTTCCGAAATTCCCGCCAAACAACTGCGCATGCGCAGCCAGCGGCTTCAGCGCTCCAGCGCCGGACGGTGCCATCGGCAAGGCGCATGCGTACTCTGGTGTTTCACGCTCTGGCCCGGCCCATCTTGTCCCTAATTTTTCTGTCCAATTATGGTCACTACCTCTCAAGCCGCACCCAGTCGAGGGGATTGCCTTCTCCTATGCACGACTTGGCTGACCTTCGCTGCCAAACAGCCTACCTAGGAAAGTCAGGGAGTCTGGCTGCCTCTGTCTCTCTGACTCAAAAATGAGGACAGTGACTTTCTTCAGGGTCACCTGGAACTCTGAGCTCACTTTGTCCCCTGCCTACTTACTCCTGCACCACAGGCCCCTCCTATGGTCCCTTAAGTACACAGCAAAATTCGAGCACACCCCTTCCGAGCATCATCACAGGCCAATTCTCGCCCCGCCCCTTTGTTCGAGCATGCTCTTTGCCTGGAAAGCCTTCCTCTTCCCATCTAGCTTTCTCTTCATGTTGAAGGCCTGATGTTCTGTGCTCCCAGGAACCCAACGCATGCCTGCTTCACCCTCCTTTGCCTGGGAGGGTCCACAAAGCAGGCTGCTTCCTTGGGACAAGGTATTGAGCCACCAGAATGGCTCTGTACATCAATGAAGTGATTTATTTTACATCTGAATCTTGTGAATGCTGAATTGAAGAGCAGTACAAAAGATTCCAAAGGGCCAGGTGTAATGGCACATACCTTTAGTCCCAGCACTGGGAAGGCAGAGGGAGGCATATCTCTGAGTTTTAGGCCAGCCAGAGTGAGACCAAGTCTCAAACAAAAAAACCAAAAAGGTCCTCAAAGAGTGGGAGGCAGGTGGACATTCTTTCATTGTAATTGTGGTCCCTTGAAAGTTTTCTGGTAAAAGGTAGAAATGTATATTACAGAAATTTCTACTCTGCCACTCTGGCCAGTAGTTTGAACAGTATCTGAAAGGGGTGTGTTCTTGGGTCCCTGAATATCATTTTCTGGAGCTGAGTTCCTTTATCCATGCCTCCATCCTTTAGCACGTCATGTGTTGATGTCCCAAAGACAGAATTTAGTATCTCCAGCCAAGGGTGGCCATGTTGTGACAAGCTGAGATTACTACCCGTGCAATCCACTCCCAGTCAACATGCCTTTTCCTTTCTTTGAATTCTCACATGGTCCCTCCTCTTTATGAGATGCATACAGATTCTTTCCCTGTTCCCCATCCAACTTTCATTTCCTGAGTTTGTATTGTTAGACCCCCGAAAATTCAAGTATCCGGGGTCTCAGGCCAGGTTCGCGGTCACCCCAATCACCAGGCGGATTCGAGAGCTTGCTGCAAACTGCACGAGGCTTTATTGTAATTTAACGAACTAACCCCATGTTAGCTCGGGTCTTTCCCCCCCCCGCCATGGCAGACGGCTAGAAAAAGACGGCTCCTACGGGCTCCCAAAAGATCTTATAGGGCAGCGTAAGGGGAGTGTCTAGGGGTA